CAAAAACATGATGACAGTTTATCCTCTAAAGACATCCATGCTCTAAATTTTGCTTCTTTAAAATTACCTTCTTTGAAAAGTCTTGCTGAAAGACAGAAAGGAAAATATATTTTCTTTAATAAATCATATAACATATTGTGACTTCTAATTAAGGAAATTATTGCTATATTTTTGGAACTAATTATATTTCACTGTCATTAAATTTTACCATATGTTAAGTAAAATTCCATTGGTTACATTTTACCAGGTCTGGGGACAAATCTGGCTGATTAGTTTTGCCCTGGGAAGGCTGATGCCTTGTATGTACTAAGTGAAAAATTTCTCAGGCATTCAAAATAATTGAAGGAAAATAGTAGAGTAACATTGTAAACCCTTCTACTATGAACATGAACAATCCAAAAAATAAATAAGCTTCTCTGTTTATAGTTGACCCAAGTTAACAGAAAGAATATTTAAATTGAAGGAAAGAAAAATTGTTTATATATATTTCCAATTTTTTCTCTCACATGTTAGGGTTTTTTTTGTTGTTGTTGAGCTGAATCTTTTTGTGGTTTCTTCTGTCCTTCCCTGGATGGGAAGGCAAACTGTGATATATTTAATTCCATTAATCTTTTTTTTACTGTTCAAATTGGTTTTTAGTATATATACAAAGTTTTACAGTCATTACAATAATCAATTTTAGAACGTTTTCATCGGCTTCAAGAAGCCCCTATACTCTTCAGCTATGACCCTTTTACCTCCTAATCCCCACAGACCTAGGCAACCACTAATTTACTGCCTGTTCTGGACATTTTGTATCACTGAATCATATAATATATGGTCTTTCAAGACTAGATTCTTTCACTTAGCATAATGTTTTCAGAGTCCAGTCATACTGTAACTTCATTCCTTTTATATGAATGCCATTAATCTTTAATCTGGAAATAAAGACAGATCCAGCACAGTGTCTTGGACCTTGAGAAGTGATGTCAGAAGCATTTGAGAGAGACAAGAACCTGCCAAGTTCCTGCACAATGATAATTTTCATTTAATGTACAGTGACAGAGTCCCAGAGATATGAGTGACTAGATTAAAGGGGGGAAGGTTTTCATTTTCACGTGAAAGTTTCTTTCCCTCTCCTAATTTAGCTAACTTATTTTTATGTAACTGGCTTAGGAAGCCTGTGCAAATCAGAGTTTGGAACTGAGATGGTTTTTATTGCAAGATGAAAATTTATCTTCTTTATTGTTGTTCAGTTGCTCAGTGGTGTCCCACTCTTTGCCCCACCTTATGGACTGCAGCACACCAGGCCTCCCTGTCCCTCACCATCTCCCGGAGCTTGCTCAGACTCATGTCCATTGAGTTGGTAATGCCATCCCACCATCTCGTCCTCTGATTTCTTTATAGACCCTGGTATTCAGAAGATAGTCCTCAATAGGGCATTAACCAATACGCTTTATTTCCACAAAAATTCAAATAGAATAAGATGGTATTGGGAAGGCTAGTTTTGAAAGGAAAAGCAATACACACTCACTGCAAAGGTCAGATACTGGAACATGATACTGAGAGGAATTTTGAGTCTTCTTTATTCATTAGTCTTTAAAAATGTTCAATTTATAATTACTCAGGGTTCAGTGTCAAAATAGACACCTGGAGCCTTTAGTCATAGCCATCTGTCTGGAGTTCTGTTTTTTTTTTAATTTGGTTTCTTTGGAAAGAAGAAGGATGGATTAGATTATTCCTGGATGTCTCTCTCAGGTACTTCCGTGAGGAGAATGCTGGGGTCAGGGTAGGAAGGTGAAAGTCACGTGAGCGGTAATCCAGCAGCTTCAGTCAAGCGTTGGAGACGGGTGAGGAGAGCGGGGCGAGGACCAGCGCCGGGGACTGGGGAGAGCAGGCGGCCTGTGAGGACCGCGCGGTGGGGGCTTAGGTGTCACGTGGGCCAAGATGTCTAGAGTAAAATAAATGAGCAGCAGCTCTGTTAGTGAACAAAAAAGTTATCTCAAATATAGATGTGTAGGCCACTACAGTCTGTCATTATAGTGTTGTTAGGAGACTGTAAGCAATAATATATAGATTTAGGCTATTGAAAGTGAGAGTCTTGTAAGAATTTACGAAAAAATTAAATTGTACATGTCTCTTAAGCTGAAATACGATGTGAGAGGATAGTAGATAACCAGAAAGTGCATACATCTAATGGACTGGAAATGAGTTGCTGAGTCCTTCAACAAAGCTGGAGCCAGGGGGCCTGGGGAAAAGCTGAAAAAATAAGGAACAAGCAATGCCCTTGGTAAAATGGGCTTATTATAGTAAGTCACAGAGAAATCTTTGTTATGTTACACATCTTTGAAGAATGAATTTCAAATGTCAAACACATCTGATATATATTGTGCTTAATTTGTTGTTGAGTTGCTCAGTTGGGTCCAACTCTTTGTGACCCCATGGACTGCAGCATGCCAGGCTTCCCTGTCCTTCACTATCTCCTGGGGTTTACTCAAACTCATGTCCATTGAGTCCGTGATGCCATCCAACCATCTCATCCTCTGTTGCCCTCTTCTCCTCCTGCCCACAGTCTTTCCCAGCATCAGGGTAGTTCCAGTGAGTTGACTCTCTGCCTCAGGTGGTCAGAGTATTGGAGTGTCATACTTAATACTGAGTAACAAATGTATGACTAAGAAGGATCATTAACGGTTTCTGTAAATAGTGGTGGCCTCTCAAATGCAATATGCCATGGCCATCATGCTGATGTTTCCAGATGTAGAATTAGCTGGGTTGTGTTTATTTCAGCAACAGTTGTAGATTTTAGATTTCACTTCTGAGAAATTTTTTTTTCTTTTTTTTAGTTATCGAGTGGCATTGCTACCTGCTTTGCTTAATTTAGCTGTTTGTTATATAAACAGTTTTGTTACTATAGCTATGGCGGAGTCTGGAAAGAAGAATTTATACTCAGATGTTTAGAGTTACTTCTTTTACTCCACTTGAAGAAATGTGGCCTGGTGTCCTCTTTGAGGAAGTGTTGCGGCATCACTGTCTGTGCCAGCAGTGTGGTTGGACACTTCCAGCTTTACTCAGTGGGTATCAGGATTCTGAACTGATGGGTAAGCAGGTGGGCAGGACAGTTTTCAAGGCCTCCCAATGCACATCTCAGAATGAGGTTGTTATTTAGTGAGAGATTCCCATTGCTTCACACCTAAACATACAAGACACAAGGAAGAGGTATTTATAGTCTTAAATTCTTTGAGCAGTTTCAGTATTGAAAACTAAATTCCTGCCTTTTGAGGGTCTGCCATTTATTACAGAGATTTTTTAATGATTATTGAGGATCCTCGGACCCTTAAGAAAACAGGAATTGTTTGAGAAATACAGCATTGTTTGTGAAATACAGCATTGTTTGTGAAATACAAGGAGAAGGCTAGCTGTGTTTTTCCCCAGAAGACACGTGTTAGGACCCTGACATGTCAGTCTTGTAGAGCGTGCACAGGTGTTTTCACACAGCAGCGTTTGGGTTGCTCACCCTCTGGGGGCAGCTTTCTTGTCCCCAGTCAGTGCCTGTGACCTGGCCTGTGTCAGTCTGTCTGATCTCAGCACCCACCACTCTTTCCATTGCTCCTCCTGTTCTACCTCATGGCCTCTTGCTGTCCTTGATTTGCTTCCAGCTCAGGGCCTTTCTCCGTGTCCTTCCTTCCCCGGCTGATCCTCTGGCTTGGAAACAGTCTTTCTGAGCTCTCCTCTGGCCTGTGCCCTGTCTTCACTTAGAACACTTCTCCGGTCACCTCGTCAGCGCGGCTCTGCCTGACTGCTGCATGCTGAGGAGCCCTCCTCCCCTTCCTCCACGTCCTCCTCCTGAGAGCGAAGGTCTAGTCTGTGCTTGTTTGCTCTTCAGTGTTGTGGGGCCAGGCTTCCTCTGTTTCGTTCACAGAAAACTCCCCAGGGCATTAGCAGTAGCTGGCACCGTGGTAAAACTCCCAAGGGCATTAGCAGTAGCTGGCACCATGGTACGCGCCTGCTCCGTCGCTTCAGTCATGTCCAGCTCTTTGAGACCCTGTTCTTTGCTTTATAAAATAAAATTTTAGAGATCTGGAGTTTGTTTTTCCCCACCCTGAGTCAGTGAAGGTATAGTCTTCATATTAATATTTTTGTTACTTTGTGTTGGAGATATGGAGTGCTAATCACTCCTTCCTTTCCTCCTCCTCTCCTTGATTCCAGTTGAATATAAACTCAAAATGAGCATTGGGTGAAGATTGGTATATATTTTATTAAACTGATCAAGTGGCTATAGCTTTACAGTGCAGCAGTTTTAAGACTCTAGATTCAAAGCAACTTGGATTCAAGAGTGTCCAGTGGAGTCCTTGGTCCTGGGGCGGTTATAGCCCTCCCTTGATGGAGAGCTGAGCCGATCTGAACAGGAGGGCTTCTGGCGTGAGACAGAGCCGACGGTCCACTCGGCAGGACTTCAGCAGGCCACGAAAAGACAAAACTGAACTTTTTTATTTATCCACTAGTTAAAATGTGAATTGTAGCCCAGTGGATGTCCGATTCCACTGGTTAGATTAGCAAATTCTCCACATATGGAAATGATTCAGTAAGCAGGTGGAGACAGAAATCGAGATGATTGTTCCAGCTCACCCCCTGCCACTTGAGGAACCAACCCGCACTGCCCTTTTGTGTGGACAGAAAGGGATGTGTTGCAATTATGGTTATCCCTGAACAACTGCATTTGCAACACATATATTAAAACGTACCTACAAACAAATAATTTTGACCAGAAAAGAGCTATCAACACAGGATGTTTCTGAGAATTGATTGCATTTGTGAGTCATCTAGACATCTGCCAAATGAAAGCTCAGGCTCTATTTGTATGTATGTTTAAGGGGATGGATGTTAATCCAGCATCTATTCAACACCTGTTAATAGAAAGGTGATACTTATGAAAAAATACCGTGTTATTTTTAGTTTGGCTAATCTGTTTAGTACGGCTAATACTAACTTCAAGTGTAAATTCAGGCGCTCTTATGTTTCAGGTTCGGGGGAGTAAGGGAGAAGTCCTGTACATTTTGGATGCTACCAACCCGAGACACTCCAACTGGCTTCGCTTTGTTCACGAGGCACCATCTCAGGAGCAGAAGAACCTGGCTGCCATCCAAGTGAGCTGATTTGCTTCTTATTTGTACTCTGTACATTGAGGGGAATGAACTAATTTATAACTGTTCTCCCTGTTTTAAATTTATTTCCAAATGACCTGCTTCAAATAACAGTAACTAACTCATAAAAGCAGAGAAGTCTCATCTAGTCAGCATATGCAGGAAAGGGCAAGCCCAGCTGTAAATTGACACCAGATCACTGACTTTATGAGAATTCTTGAGGGGATGAGTTACATGGTCTGATATTATCCTTGGCAGATTCTGCTTTCAAGTACTTTTAATTCATTCAGTGAATGTTTTTATTGATAGTTTTTCTGTTTGATGGCTTACTTGGCTCGTGGCACAATGTGCTATGATATTGTTTGGGAAAGGCTTCATGAAGAAAGTTTGTTTGGGTGTGTTTCCCTGTGGCTGTCCTCTGAGCTTCTTGAGGGTGTTGCATTCCTCAGCATTTTGAGAGAAACAGAGCCAATAGGATCTACATATCTGTATCTGTGATGTAAAGAACCCACCTGCCCGTGCAGGAGACAGAAGAGACAGACGTGCGTTCGATTTCTGGGTCAGAAACACCCCCTGGAGGAGGGCATGGCAGCCCACTCCAGTCCTCTTGCCTGGAGAATGCCATGGCCAGAGGAGCCTGTGGGCTACGGTCCATGGGGTCGCAAAGAGCCAGACACGCCTGAGTGACTTAGCATGTATCTATCTACTTGTCCATCCATCTAGAGAGAGAGAAAGAGATAGAGACCGAGAAAGAGATTTATTTTAAGCAATTGGCTCATGTAGTTATGGAGGCTGGCAGGTTCAGTCTCTTCAGAGCCAGTGTCCCACCTCAAGTCCAGAGGCCACAGGCTGCTATAGTCAAGAGCAGATGTTCCGTTTCAAGGTTGATGACATGAAAGCTGCTGTAGAATCAGCAAGAGCCAGTGTCCCACTTGAAAGGCTGTCAGCCCTGAAGAGTGGATTTTCCAGTTTAAAAGCCATTAGGTAGAATAATTCTCTTGGAACTTCCCCTGAGCTCCAGGGGTTAAGGCTCTACATTCCAGTGCAGGGGGCACAGGTTTGACTCCTGGTCAGGGAACTAAAGTTCTACATGCCATGGGTTGGAGCCAAAAAAAAAAAAGAATTCTCTTTTACTTGGTGGGGGAAGGGAGACCCTTTTGTTCTTTTCAGGACTTCAGCTGATTGGATGAGGCCCACCTACATTGTAGAGGGTACTCTACTCTACTCAAATTCACATATTAAAATGTTAATCTCACACAAAAACATCCTCACAGAAACAAAATAATGTCTGAATAGTTATCTGGGTGCCCTGTGGCCTAGTCAAGCTGACATAGATAATTAACTCTCCCAGGTGGGAACAATGTTTTGTTGAATTCTGTATCCTGTATTTTAGGATAGTGTTATACACAGCATCAGGCTCTGACAGTAACTGTGACTTAAACTCCATTGCTCCCTCACTAGAAATTAAGGGAAGGAGACAAATAGTCAAGACAAGGAGTTTCTAGAAGGACTTGGGAAACGGTAACAGATTTTGTTTTCTTGGGCTCCAAAATCACTGCAGGTGGTGACTGCAGCCATGAAATTAAAATATGCTTACTCTGCGGAAGAAAAGCCATAACCAACCTGGACAGCATATTCAAAAGCAGAGACATTGCCGACAAAAGTCTGTCTAGTCAAGGCTATGGTTTTTCCAGTGGTAATGTATGGATGTGAGAGTTGGACTATAAAGAAAGCTGAACACTGAAGAATTGATGCTTTTGAACTGTGGTGTTGGAGAAGACTCTTGTTTGATTCAACCAGTCCATCCTAAAGGAAATCAGTCCTGGGTGTTCATTGGAAGGACTCATTATGAAGCTGAAACTCCAATACTTTGACCCCCTGAGGTAAAGAGTTGACTCACTGGAAAAGACCCTCATGCTGGGAAAGATTGAAGGCTAGAGAAGAAAGGGACGACAGCGGAGAAGGGGATGACAGAGGATGAGATGGCTGGATGGCATCACTGGCTCGACAGATGTGAATTTGAGCAAGCTCCGGGAGTTGGTGATGGACAAGGAGGCCTGGACTCGCACATGACTGAATGACTGAACTGTAATTAAAGTTCATTGGACAGATCGTTAAGAGAATTAAAGAAGCTTTACATTCTGTTTGGCAGTTGACAGATCACATGTGAAAACTTGGCTCCTGAACTCTAAACTGCAGAAGTGAAAGCAGAGTGAAGGTTGGCAGGAGCAGGAGGAAAGGGAACAGAGTAAGGGAGCCCGTAGTTCCTTGAGTGTTTTCCATGTGCACTATTCTAGAAGCTTCATGTACATCATGCCGTTTACTCATAACAAACTCTTGATAGCTTAACGTGAGGGTTGTGCTGATTTCATTCAATCCAAGTCTGAAACCAACAGTGGCAAGAGGAAAAATGCAAGGAAAAATGTACAGAATTGGGTTTTCAAATCAGAGAAGGCATTTTCCAGTACTCTTGCCTGGAAAATCCCATGGATGGAGGAGCCTGGTGGGCTACAGTCCATGGGGTCCCTACAAGTCGGACACGACTGAGCGACTTCACTTTCACTTTTCACTTTCATGCACTGGAGGAGGAAATGGCAACCCACTCCAGTGTTCTTCCCAGGGACGGGGGCACCTGGTGGGCTGCTGTCTAAGGGGTCGCACAGAGTCGGACACGACTGAAGCGACTTAGCGGCAGCAGCAGCAGCAGGTTTTCAAGTAACTGGAAAACAGTCATTTAGGATATTTCATTTCCTTATGTTATTAGCTAGCCTAGTTTTTTCAGTACAAATAGGTAGTGGATAACCAGTGTGTTTACTGTTGTTTTTGTATGGGCAAGTTATGATGACTTACCAAAGGGTTTGGAACATAGGATCTTTTGGCAGCCAGCTGTATTCAAGCCACTTTTTAGATTGTTCATGATATGTGTTGATCCAACTACACATTTAAATTATCTCTTTTGGAAAATGTGTAGACATTAATTACTTTAAAGTACTTTATATTTTTTCATGGTTTTCTGAGGCATACTCATCTCACAGGATCTTCAGTTATATCCTAATTGTAATTTATGGATTTAGAATCAGTTCAGTTCAGTCACATCTGACTCTTTGCAACCCCATGGACCGCAGCATGCCAGGCCTCCCTGTCCATCAGCAACTCCTGAAGTTTGCTCCAACTCATGTCCATTGAGTCGGTGATGCCATCCAATCATCTCATCCTCTGTCATCCCCTTCTCCTCCCGCCTTCAGTCTTTCCCTGCAACAGGGTATTTTCAAATGAGTCAGCTCTTCACATCAGGGGGCCAAAGGATCGGCCTTTCAGCTTCAACATCAGTCCTTCCAATGAATATTCAGGACTGATTTCCTTGAGGATGGACTGGTTGGATCTCCTTGCAGTCCAAGGGACTCTCAAGAGTCTTCTCCAATACAATAGTTCAAAAACATCAATTCTTCGGCACTCAGCTTTCTTCACCGTCCAACTCTCACATCCATACATGACTACTGGAAAAACCACAGCCTTGACTTTTGTTGGCAAAGGAATGTCTCTGCTTTTGAATATGCTAAGTTGGTCATAACTTTTCTTCCAAGGAATAAGCATTGGTTAATTTCATGGCTGCAGTAACCATCTGCAGTGAGTTTGGAGCCTCCAAAAAATAAAGTCTGCCACTCTTTCCACTGTTTCCCCATCTATTTGCCATGAAATGATGGGACTGGGTGCCATGATTTTAGTTTTCTGAATGTTGTGCTTTAAGCCAACTTTTTCACTCTGCTCTTTTACTTTCATCAAGAGGCTTTTTAGTTCTTTGCTTTCTGCCATAAGGGTGGTGTCATCTGCATATCTGAGGTTATTGATATTTCTCCCAGCAGTCTTGGTTCCAGCTTGTGCGTCATCCAGCCCAGCATTTCTCATGATGTACTCTGCATGTAAGTTAAATAAGCCCGGTGACCATATACAGCCTTGACGTACTTCTTTTACTATTTGGAAAAGGGCTCAGTTTGTTTCTTTGTAAATGTTACCAATAAAAAAATTGCCTGTAGACCCATGAAATCTAATTTAGGCAAACCCATTGTTTTGTAGGGGCTTCATTATTATATTTTTCCCATTCTGTTGGTTTCCTCTATTTCTTTGCATTGATCACTGAGGAAGGCTTTTTTTTTTTTCTCTCTCCTTGCTATTCTTTGGAACTCTGCATTCAGACGGGAATGTCTTTCCTTTTCTCCTTTGCTTTTCACTTCTTTTTTTTTCACAGCTGTTTGTAAGGCCTCCTCAGAGAGCCATTTTGTTTTTTTGCATTTTTTTTCCATGGAGATGGTCTTAAGCCATGTCTCCTGTACAGTGTCACAAACCTCCATCCATAGTTCATCAGGCTGTCTATCAGATCTAGTCCCTTAAATCTATTTCTCACTTCCACTGTACAATCATAAGGAATTTGATTTAGGTCATACCTGAATAGTCTAGTGGTTTTCCCTACTTTCTTCAATTTCAGTCTGAATTTGGCAATAAGGAGTTCATGATCTGAGCCACAGTCAGCTCCTGGTCTTGCTTTTGCTGACTGTATAGAGCTTCTTCATCTTTGGCTGCAAAGAGTATAATCAGTCTGATTTCAGTGTTGACCATCTGGTGGTGTCTTCTCTTGTGTTGTTGGAAGAGGGTGTTTGCTATGAACAGGGTGTTCTCTTGGCAAAACTCTATTAACCTTTGCCCTGCTTCATTCTGTGCTCCAAGGCCAAATTTGCCTGTTACTCTAGATGTTTCCTGAGTTCCTACTTTTGTGTTCCAGTCACCTATGATGAAAAGGACATCTTTTTTGGGTGTTAGTTCTAAAAGGTCTTGTAGGTTTTCATAGAACTCTTCAACTTCAGCTTCTTCAGCATTACTGGTTGGGGCATAAGCTTGGATTACCGTGATATTGAATGGTTTGCCCTGGAAACAAACAGAGATCATTCTGTCATTTTTGAGATTGCATCCAAGTACTGCATTTCGGACTCTTGTTGACTGTGAGGGCT